AGCATAGCAACCACCCTGGGAGGGCCTATGGGCCATAACAACCAGTTGGCCAATCAACACAGGGCAAGCCCTCCAAGCCTGGAGGCACACCAATCGTGAGCCTGTGCGTACCCCTAGACACTCCCCTTACGCTGTCCTATAAGATCTCTCGGGAGACCCTAGGAGCTGTCTTTGCCATCCGCCATGGCAGGTGGGTGAAAGACCCGAGCTAACATGGGGTTAGCTCGTTAAATTACAATAAAGCCTCATGCAGTTTGCATCAAGCTCTTGAATCCGCCTGGTGATTGGGGTGACTGCAGTCGTGGCCTGGGACCCCGGATACCTGAGTTTTCCGGGGGTCTAATAATTCCACACATCTACTTCTAGACATTAAACCATGGCTATCTCTGAGGTAGGGACTCAATTTATTTTGTTCTATGCCAACATATCAGAATATGCCTGTTCCCCAACCACCACACTAGCCCTGTGAGGACTCACACTTTAATAGCTTCACATCAGTTTTATTAGATCCCAAAATGTCTCTCTAAAAGATTTTCAATTTTTCTACCACTCCTTGTGGCAGATGGGGGTTCATGTCTTCCCAACTCCCTCCCACCTGACCCACGCAGGACAGAGGGATCAGGGGCTCCCCTATCTAGAATCCAGGACTGAGCCCCCTCATTCCCTCAGGAGCCAGGACTTCTGGCCCCTAGGTCCTCCCCTTCCTCTTCAAGTGCTCTCATTGTAACTTCCAGCTGCAAGGTTTACCCCAGGTCTCAGCGCGGGGTGGAGAGGCGCCGGCACTCATGCATCCGGTAGGCACACATGTAGAAAATTCCTGTGTGGACAGAATCCACTGATGCCACAAGCCCTTTGAACCTACATTCCATCCCAAGGGACTCCTCACTTCCTCCCTCCCTAAGGTCACCAATCCCCAGACCCCTTAGCCCTAGAGTCTGCCTTCAGATCTGTGTACTTGTCAACTCACACTCTGAGGTCGCTTGCCTTGCCCCAGATTTCAACCTTCCCACCCCTCTGCCCCAGTACCTGCAAAGAAGGTCATGAGCAGGGCCACCCAGCCCAGGATGTAAGACCATGAAAAGCGCCAGTCCCCAAAGCGGCGACCCAGGAAGCTGACGGTGACTCCCGTGTAAATGGCCAAGGCCAACAGTACAAAAAGAGCTGAGGAGAGAACATGGAGTGGCATAAAGTGGAATAAGAGAATTGGAGATAAGGCAGGGGGAGGTTGTGAGGGTGGGGACAGTGGTGATAGTGAAGGTGACAGGATTGGGTGAGGACAAGGCAGAGAAGCACAGTAAAGCATTTGAGAGTTCCTTGTCTCTGGATTCTGGGTGGGTAACTAAATTGTTGCACTGTTCTGAGTTGCAGAGTGTCTTAATTACTCTAAAGAACTCCTTGGATCACACTAGAGTTTGTATGAACTAACAGGTGGCTCAGGGTGCCCATCAGAAACACCCATCAGGGGATTAGAGGCTGTGGGGGTTTGAATAAGAATGGCCCCCATAGGCTCATATTTTTGAATGCTTAGTCATCAGGAAGTGGCCTATTTGAAAGGATTAGAAGGATTGGGAGGTGTGGCCTTGTTGGAGGAAATGTGTCCTGGGGGTGAGCTTTGAGGTTTCAAAAGCTCCTGCCAAGCCCAAACTGTCTCTCTGTTGGCTAGTGGATCAGTACATAGCTCTCAAATGCTTCTCCAGCATGTGAGTGCCAACATTCTCCCTTCTATGAAGATAATGAACTAAGTTCTCTGAAACTGTAAGCCAGCCCCAATTAAGTGTTTTCCTTTATAAGCATTGCTGTGGTCATGGTGTCTTTTTACAGCAATGACTAAGACAGAAGGTTATTAAGAGTCTGAGCCTGAGGGTGCTGCCTCTGGGACGGGGGAAGCTGGAGGAAAGACAACATCATGGCCGGGAGTCCCTCTGTGATGCTTGGTCTTCAGTGTCAGCTCTACTGGATTTAGAATCGCCTAGGAAACACACACACACACACACACACACACACACACACACACACCTTGTGTGTTTCCAGTGATGGAGTTATCATTTATTATTTGATTTATGTGTGTGCCACAGCACTATGAGGTGGTCAGAGAACAATAGTAGGAGTCTATTCTCTCTCTCTGGTGGGTTTTGGGGACACAAACTCAGTTCTTCAGGCTGGAAAGCAAGTGACTTTAGCCACTGAGCCATCTCACCAGACCCCCCAGAGCATTTTAACTAAGGTAGAATTACATGCTGCATGTGGACAACAGTAGTATCTCATGGGCTGGGGTCCTTGATAGCATAAAAAATAAGAAAGTGGGCTAAATACCAACTGTCATCTCTCTGTTTCCTGACTGTGGATGCAGCAGCTGCCTCATGCTTCTGTCATCATGACTTCTCCACCATGATGGTCTGTGGCCTCCAACTATGAGACAAATATACCTTCCTACCTTCCTTAGGTGGTTTCTTGTTAAGTATTTGGTCACATCAATGAGAACTTCCACTAATGCCCTATTCATCACCTGTGTAATAAAATTCTGACAGGACTCACCTTATGTGTCTTCATTAGTTGGTCCTGAGATGAATGGCTATGAAGACTGTCACTGTAAGTGTAAATATGTTTGAAGTTCTATGGGGTATTTGTATTGGAATCCCTGCCTAGAATCCCCTAGTGAGGGGCTAAGAGTGCGATTCAGTAGCAGAGCTCTGCCTATCGTGCTCCTGTGAGGCGCTGCAGTGTCTTCAGTGGGTAGAAAGAACCTCTGCCTAGAATTCCCCAGTGAGAGGCTAAGAGTGAATGTCTTTCTAGTATATGTAAGTTCCTGAGATTTTCATCTATTAGCAGGACAAAAGAGAGGAAGGAAAGAAGGAAGGGGAGGAAGTGATTGTCTTTAATTAAAAAGCAGAGTTAAAAGCTAAGAAGAAAGAAAAGTCAGTGGAGCTGAGCCTAGGCATGAGAGGGAATGGAGTCACAAGAAGCGGGTGTTGGGGTCGGGAAGGTTTTTGCCTCACTCACTGGAGGCAAAAAACATGATGCCGGCGGAGAAGGGCCTGGAGAGGCTGGTGAAGGTGGACTGCTGTGCGAAGGCCAGGACGCCCATGATGATGCCCGAGGTGGCACACAGGGCAGACAGGATCATGAAAGCGCGGGTGGCATTCCAATATGCTGTGGAGACACATCATAGTCACTCCCAGGTCACTACCTCTGGGATCATTGTGCCTTGTTTTCCTCCATGTCTCTGATTCAGCTCTTCCCTCTTTTGACCTAGCACACTCATCCTCATCCTCCAAAGCCCCAGCTCTCACGACCTCTTCTGGGAAGTGTTGCTCTCATCAGAGTCACGACCCTCACCCTTGGCTTTGGGTTCTAACTGTCTCTTTTATTTCACCTCCTCCAGCTTCACTTCTCCCTGAAGATAGGGACTGGCATGGTTCTTGCTGTGAACACCCCCAGCACAGGTGTGGCTCACACATAGGCCGTGTGAAATGTTTATTGAGTGAATGTTTCCCCATATGCTTTTGACAATAACTATCTTACTCATCCTTTCCTTTTCATCCATTGTACTTTCCTGCATCCACAAAGTCCTGTTCTTTTGTCTTAAATATATTTGTAGTGTCTGAAAAAGACCAGAGCTGGCTGCTCTGTTGCATCCCCAGCCCCTGACACCTGTCTGGAACATGATAGATGTTTAGTAACAAGTGTTGAGATTGGGTCTCTTACAACCCAGCCCCTGCCCTTGAAGTCACAATGTAGCTAAGGTTGACCTTGAATTCCTGATTCTCCTGTCTCTCTCTTCCTGAGATACCATGCTTTTCTCTGTTTTTGAGACAGGCTCTTGCCACATAGTCCAGGCTGTAGGTCCTCCTGGTTCTCCTGAGTTTTGGAATTGCAGGTGTGCACCACCATGTTTGCCTTGTCCAAACCTTATAGACAACTAACTGCCTCCCAGCATTCATGGGAGATGGAAGGAGGGTAACCTGTGAAAAGTGCTTGGGCTAGGTAAGCACTTAGTAGGTTTAGGGTTTTTTTTGTTGTTTAGGGGAATAAAATTTAATAATAATTAATATATTTTAGAAAATTTTGTGCAGTATAACATTTTGTATTATGATTTATTAGCTTATCATATACTATATTGTATGCTACATTAAACAAAACATATTAAATATTACTAATTTCCCATGCTATAAAGAGCATATAAAGAGTTATGTCTACTAGAACATATTATCCATTAATATTATGTATATTCATACCATATATATTATGTAATATATTTCTCCATGTCACCCTTCTTAGGCTTAGTGTGTGTGTGTGTGTGTGTGTGTGTGTGTGTACACTGTGCCTGTTTATGTGGATACATGTGTGTATGTGCATATTGAGACCCAAGGTTGACCTTGGGTGTTGTTCCTCAGGAGCTGTCCACTTTGTTTTTTGAAATAAGGTCACTCACTGACTTGGAGTTCACCAAGTAATTTAAGCTGGCTGTGAACCTCAGGGCTCTACATCTATCTATTATTTCAGGGTTAGAACTCATGTACCCTTTATTTGTTTATTTGGGTGACAGACAATTCTCTTGCCTCAGCCTCCTGGTTCTGGAATTATAGCTATAAGCCTCTGTGCCTGGACAGCTAGCCAGTCAGCCTGCTTGCCTGTCTGTGTGTTGGCCTGTCTGTCTACCTACCTCTGGTGATTTGAATGAGAATAGACCTCATATTTTAATGTTTGGTCCTCAATTAGTGATACTGTTTGGGAAGGATTAGGAGGTGTGGCCTTGTTGGGAGGAGGTGTGTCACTGGGGGTGGACTTTGAGGTTTCTAAAGTCTATGCCAGGCCTAATACTCTCTCTCTCTCTCTCTCTCTCTCTCTCTCTCTCTCTCCCTCTCTCGTCGATTAAGAGGTGATTGCTCAGCTCCTGCTGCAGCACCACACCTGCCTGCTTGCCGCCATGCTCCCAATCATGATGGTCATAGACTCTAACACATTGAAACTGTAAGCCCCAATAAACTCTTTTTTCTGTAAGTTTCCTTGGCCATGGTGTTTTTTCATGGCAATAGAAGAGTAACTAAGATACTTTTTACTTATCTATTTTCCTTGGCCATGGTGTTTTTTCATGGCAATAGAAGAGTAACTAAGATACATCCTACTTATCTATCCATCCATCCATCCATCCATCCATCCATCCATCCATCCATCCAATCTATCATATAGCTTATCCTATCCTTCCTATCCATCTATCTATTCTATCCATCATTTTCTACATTATTTATACATTTATCCATCTTGCCCATCATATATCCTATCTATCCACCCATCCATTATCAGTCAATCAATCAATATCAGCCAGTCAGTCAATTGCCTATTCATCCATCCATGTATCCATCCATCTGTAAGTACATAGCCTGGTACCCAGTAGGTAGATAGCAAGAAGTCTTTCATCTGGCATGCAGTCCATCAACAGTCACTGTGATCCCTGTCCCTAACACTGTTCATTGGCTCATAGCATTTGTTTGTTTGTTTGTTGTATTTGAGACACGGTCAAGCTATGTAGATTAAAACTCACAATCCTCCTGTCACCACATCCCAGATGCTAAGATTATGGGTATATGCTTACCACACCCAGCTCATAGCAGATATTTACAAAATACTGCTCTGGCAACCCTAACCTCATTGCTGCATCTGACACCATTTTGTGCGGGGAAATGCCACCCCATTAACCTAACCACAAAACCTTACACCCTGTCACTGCAACTAGAAAACAATCCCTATATCCCAAGTCTGTCCCACCTCTGTTGAGTATCCTAGAGCCTCTGCCTCTATGAGCCATGATGCTTTCCCTTAGAATGCCAGGGGTGATGGCCATAGGGCTGTGCTGTGGGGGAGGGCTAGACCTCAGCACCACTCAGATCCTGGTCTCAAGGCTCACCAATGCTCTCCGTCTGCAGGAAGCACTTACTACCCAGGCAGTAACGCCACAGGCCCTGGTGTGCGAAGGACCCCGACAGCCGGTACTGCATCCAGTGGTCCGTTGCTGTGGCTACCACCAACAGGATGGTCCCCACCCAGGCACAGAAGAGGCCGCCACCCATGAAGCTGTACATGGTGATCTGTGGAGAGGGGAAAGCCGAGGTTGTGAGTGGGTACCCTGGGTCTGAGGGAGGAGGGCTGGGGTCTGGACCCCTGGGTTTGAGAGGAAGGCTGAGGAATGGACCTATGGGCCTAAAGGAGGAGAGAGGGGGTGAGGACTAGACCCCTGGGTCTGAGGGAGGAGGACAGGTGCCTGGACCCCTGGGTCTGAGGGAGGAGGACAGGTGCCTGGACCCCTGGGTCTGAGGGATGAGGGCAGGTGCCTGGACCCCTGGGTCTGAGGGAGGAGGACAGGTGCCTGGACCCCTGGGTCTGAGGGAGGAGGACAGGTGCCTGGACCCCTGGGTCTGAGGGAGGAGGGCTGGGAATCTGGATTCTTCATTCCTGACAGGAAGATGTCCATGAATCTCAATTCAGGGCTCTTAGAGAGGAAGGTCTAGGAGCCTAGATTTCTCAGGTAGGGGCTGTAGGTCTCATGCTGGTGCCCTACCTGAGTGGGAGAGTCTGTTCTGAGGCCTCCTTCTGCCGAAGCCCCTCTGCGGAGACTGAGCCGAGCCAGGTTGCTGGTGTCTCTGCCTCGTGGTTCCCCCAAATCCCTTAAGCCTCCCCACACAATGGCTACATGGCCCAGCAGCTTCCAGCAGGCAGAAACACAGTGGCAGCAGAGGCCTCAATGGAATTTGCTGAAACAGGGGACAAGGGGGCCCCATCAGCCTCTAGAGGTCTGTGGCCCTCCCCATCTCCCAGGCTTTACTCCCAGTCCCCACTCTGGTTAGCCTGAGCCTCACAGGAAGCATGGCCCGCACAACAGAGATAGAACAGACATCCTTTTATTGTTCAACCTGGACTTTCCAGTCTGAGGGACAGAGAACAGCAATGGCAGGGGTGGATACAAGTGTCTGGACATGTCAGGCCAAGGGGTTCCCTGTGGGGTAGGGTCAAGGGCTTGTCAGAGCTGGGATGGCACATGGCAGATGCTGGGACTGGGGCTGGGGAGTTGAGGATGGTGCTTGGTGTAACATGGATGTGGGTATGAAGGTCGTATGAGATGAGGTGAATATGAAGCCAGGACCAGGAAGAGGCGAATCTAGTGGTCCACAGCAGGGTTAGCACTCAGCTGACTGAGAGGAAGATCGGTGAGACAGGTTTAAAACAAGGCAAACAAGCTGGGGATGATGTGAGACATTGTGGCCAAGACCTTTAATCCCAGATATTTGGAAGGTTGAGACAGGAGGGTCGCAAGTTCAAGGCCAGCTTGGACACTTGGCGAGATCCTTTCTCAAGATAAAAACAAGAGAGGGTTGCAGTTTAGTTCAGTGTTTGACATTTGGGAGACTAGTACTGAAAAAAACAGCAAACAAACAAATTAGGAATTAACATGGGTTAGAACTGAAGGCCAAGAGGGGAGTGGGGGAGGGCCGGGTAATGGATCGACCACAGAACTGGGTGACTATTTGGTCCGGAAATGGGTTGGAGCAGTCCTGGGGGCGTTGAGAATAAGATGGGATATTAGCTAGGTTTGGGATACTGTGAGTCTGGGCATGGGAGTTTTCCTATTTGGGATGCTAAGTCAGGTTTAGGCTTTACAAGGTGACCTGCAGGAGGCCTTCAGAGGTTGTGGTTTTGGTCTGGGAAGGCTGTAGAGATGATTTCTTTCTTAGGGGTACCTCTGAAGGATTAAGAACACTGTGAGCTCAGGGAACCCCTGTGTGGCCGAGTACTGGATGCTCTTCAGGTCCTAGTAGTCTGTCTCCCAGTCCTCAGACAGAGGTGCTGGGGGAAGGGATGGCTCCAGACCTCCAGCTTCCTTTTGCCCATCCTGGGATGGTGGTGTCACTGGCTGGGTCTTGGGGCCAGACTCAGAGCCTCCTGCCATGCTTCTCTCCAGATCATTGGCTCTCACAGGACCCCACTGTGACTGGCCCCGGCCCCTGCCCCTACCCCGGGAAGGCCTGCGCCGAACCTCCCAGCCCCCACGGGCCTGGTCCCATCTCCTGGGAGGCCTCCTGACTGTGTCTGAGGAGATGTGGCTTGGGTTGGCAGAGCAGGAGCAAGGGGGTAAGGACTGTTGGAAGTTGTAGGTCCCCAGTAGGGCACTGTGTAGGAGGTAGGATAGAGTGTCCAGGCGTATGGGGACAGTGACAGAGGCCAGTTGCTCAGGCAGCCCCAGGTGGGCTGGGTCCAGGGTGCTCAGAAGCGAGGGTGGCTGGGCTAGGGTGGCTGAAGCAGGCCATGCATCAGTCCCAGCTAACGGCAGAGAAAGGTTGTCCCTAGAAAGAAAATAAGAAAGTAAGTACATCAACTGCCTGCTGTGTCACCAGGGGACACTGCACTCCCCCCTTCCCGCTTATTCCCTTTTCTTATTCGTTCCAAGACCCAAGTCCCCAGCTCCAATTCCCAGCTACTAAGTGACTAAGTCTTAATTTTGTAATTAACTATTTTACTTATTTATTTTGGGACAAGGTCTCATGTAGCCAGGCTAGTCTCATACTCTGCTCTGTAGCTGAGGATGGCCTCGAACTTCTGTCCCTTTTGCCTCCATATTTGGAAGTATCTTAGTATCTTGCTCAACAGTCAGCCACCAAAGTCCTGCAGAGAGTTCCTAGGTCATAAAACCTGAGTGTGTCTACTTGTTGTTTTTTTTGTTTTTGTTTTTGTTTTTTGGTTGCTCGAGACAGGGTTTCTCTGTGGCTTTGGAGGCTGTCCTGGAACTAGCTCTTATAGATCAGGCTGGTCTCGAACTCATAGAGATCCACCTACCTCTGCCTCCCGAGTGCTGGGATTAAAGGCGTGCGCCACCAACGCCCGGCTATGTCTACTTGGTTTTTAAGTGGTACTTTTAGTTCAAGACACTCCTGGTTCTAACATGCTCTGTCCCCTCTTGTTCACGAGGCTCTTCCCTGGAAGGTTTTATCTCACTCACCCACTGCACGAAGCCTCATCTTTTAGCTCTTCCATCTTCTCAATACTGTCTGAAGTCTTTTCTAGATCCTTCTGGGGCTTTAACAGGAAAGGGAGGGGCAAAAGAAGAAACATGGGCAAGACCCATAAAAGTGAGCAGCTCTGGGGCGGGGCTAGTGGGCTGCAAGGAGCTGCCATTGGGCAGCCCAAAATATCCTCCCACCTAGATAGAAGCCCGCTGTAACTCTGTTAGATCCAAGGACCAGGCCAGGCCCAAGCTCTCCAACCTCCAACTTGGGCCTATGGTTGTAAATCACAGGCCTCCTCACTCAGATTCAGGGGTCCAGGCCCCGCCTTCTTTCTTCAGCCCCAGAGGTCCAGGGTCCAGCCCTCTTGACTCAGATCTTCACCCTCCTCACTTAGATCCAAGGGTTCAGACCCAGCCTCCTCCCACAGACCCAGGGACTAGGCCTGGACACATGTGTCTTCTTTATTTCTGCAGTTGCCCTCAGGCTATTCTTACGAATTGCTGTGACTTTTATTTTTTGTTAATTTTTTTTGTTTTGTTTTGTTTTTTCGAGACAGGGTTTCTCTGTGTAGCTTTGGAGCCTATCCTGGCACTCGCTCTGGAGACCAGGCTGGCCTCGAACTCACAGAGATCCACCTGCCTCTGCCTCCCGAGTGCTGGGATTAAAGGCGTGCGTCACCAATGCCCGGCTTAAAGGTGTTTCTTTTTATTTATTTGTTTGTTTGTTTGTTTGCTTGCTTGTTTGCTTGTTTATTTATTTATTTGGTTGCTGTGACTTTTAGACTGAGGACCCTAAGTCATGCTAGTTTAGGCATCCTGGGGGCAGGTTCTACTACATGTGACTTGCTTCGTGACCTTAAGTTTGCCTGGTCTCTGCTTCAGTTTTCACACTTTAGAATGGGGCTAATGTTATTGGTTCTGGTGAGATGCTTGTGCCATTGCTTGACAGTACATGTGCAAAGCTGTAAACACTGTCCTAGCTGCTACGATGAGTCTCAGGACATTCAGAGAGTCACCAGTCTACCATTAATACATTGTAAACAAAGAAGAGGCTGGAGGCTTTTATTCAGATACTGGTGCCAGGTCTACACCCAGGACTCTGGATTCAGCCCAGCTCTATCAGCCAGGAGTTTATAAAGTCAAGGAATGTAAAGTTGCATTCTGTCTGCAGGCAAGCAGAGGGTTATCTGGAGCAAAATAAGCTTTTGTTTACAGAAGCAAAAGCAGCAGTTAACCTTATGATCTAGTTTCATGCATAAGCAACTGTTTTGTTAAAATTGGACAAGACCAGGCAATTTTAAAACAACCCTTAAGAGCCCTTAACATATTTGGAGGTCCATTTGTGCTTTACAGTTTTGTTAGCACAGTAATTTTTAAACTTTTAAACATAAAATGAGCCATCAACATAACATTAGCCATTATGCTGCCATTAGAAATTCTTATTTTAATTGTGTGTGTGTGTGTGTGTGTGTGTGTGTGTGTGTGTGTAAGTCCAGTACATGCAGAGGCCAGAAGGTGGGGGGCTGGATTTCCTGGAGCTGGAGTTACTGGTGGTTGTGAGCTGGGAAAACTGAGCTCAGGTCCTCTGTAAAGCACAAGCATTCTAACCAACATTGAGTCATCTCTCCAGGCCCTTAGCTAGAGACATTGACATCTGCTTATTGTCCCTGCAGCTCGTTAAGAAGCCACTGACCTTCTGTCCATTTATTTAAGGAATATTTATTGAAAGCTGTGGATGTTGGTGGAGGAAGGAGGATCAGGAGTTCAAGGTCATCTTCAGCTTCATAGGGAATACCTGAACAGCCTGCACTGCATAAGACCCTGTTTCAAAACATAACAAAAACTCAACCAACTAGAGTCTCTGGAGACATTAAATCAAGGCAATGAGTGTATTTGGAGTAGATGCTTAGGGAAGGGCATCATAGGAAGGTTCCAGAAGGCTTGGAGGTTAACTGGTCTAGTAGACAAAACAGAGTAGGACTTGGGTCACAGCAAGCACAGGGATGAGGAAGGAAAAGGCTGGACTTTTTTCCTTTTTCAATTTAATTAAATCATTTGATTTTTTAAAAGGCTTCATATAGCTAAGTGTGATCCCACACTCGCTGTGTAGCTTGAATTTCTGCTCCTCTTGCTTCTACCTCTCAAGTGTGGGAATTACAGATGTGCACACCACATCTGTTCTATGTATTGCTGGGTTGAACCCAAGGCCTTGTACACTCATTGGCAGCAGTATACTGATTAGTTGCATCCTCAGCTTAAGATTTCGAACCTTTGATTTCCTTTTTTTTTCTTCCAAATTTGTTTTTGTAATGCTGGAAACAAAACCTAAGGTGTCTTAAAAAATATTTTATGAGTATATATGTTGGCATCACATGCATACAGTGCCGGGAAAGTCAGAAGATGGCGTCAGATCCCCCTGGAACTGGAGTTACAGATGGTTGTGGGACTCCATGGGGGCACTAGGACTTGAACACCGGTCCTCTGCAAAAACAGCAAGTGCTCTTAATTGCGGAGTCATTTCTCTAGTTCCATACATCATATGCTCAGCCAGTGCCCTTCTAATATTCTTTCATTCTTCCACTAGCCATACCCCAACCCCTCTCCTTCATTACCCCATTCCTCTCTTCTTTCCTCTCTCCTCCCTTCCCTCTCTCTTCCAGAGTCTCATGTAGATTAGGGCGTCTTCAAATTTGATATGTAGCTGATAAAGACCTTGAACAGGAGTTCTTTCTGTCTCTTGCTTCCCAGAACTGACATTACAATAAATAGTCCTTGCTTCCTTCTTTGCTTGCTTCCTTGCTTCCTTCCTTCTTTCCTCCCCTCCTTCCTTCCTTTTTAAAGCATTATTGGGATGGAATCCTGGGCCTCTGGCATGCCAGGCAAGCCCTCTGCCACTGAGTAGTAGCCCTCAGCCCTATTTCTTTGTAAGAGAATGGGGTGGGGTGGGGGTGGGGGCTTGGGTTGTATTCCTAGCGCTGGGGAGGCAGGCAGAGACAGGAGTGTTGAGATCAACCCAGGCAAGTTCCAGGTCTGCCTGGGCTGCGGAGACCCTGTCCTAATAATAAATAAACACTTTGAATGATTTTAAGCCCATGTGTGGCACAGTTTGACTGATGCTTTGAGAAAAGACCTTGCCTGTTGGTTGGAGAGTGGGTTTTAATGTGTAGTGAACCTGGAAGCAGAAGGCCAAGTTGAGAGGTGCTTGAGAAGCAGGACAGCCTGTTGGAGTGCTGGGGTGGGCGCCCCCAAGTCAAAGATGGCGCATGATGTTTGTTTGTTTGTTGTTTGTTTGTTTGTTGTCTTCCCAATGATAGGGGCTAAATACAGGACTTGGCACAAGTTAGTTACTCTCCCAATGATGGAATCTCCAGATCCTCTTTTGTTTCTTGCTCTGCTATTTAACTAGTGTGTGACCTTGAGCAAGCTACACAGGGTTTTAGAGTCTCTGTGGGTGCCCATTTCCAGAGTGACAGGATTTCTCCTACCTTATTCTTTTATTGCCACCCTCCAGGGTTAGCTCCACTTGAAACAGGGAAACTCTCCATCTTGGCTGCCTATTTACCTGGCCTTTTAAGGGCAGCTTCCTTCCCTTGGCTGTGGCTCTGTCCCTGGGTAGGTGCACCTCCTTGTACCTAGTAAGTGTGTTGTACTCACTTCCTATTCTGGGTAAGTCATTAGGTAAGTTCTGGGGTTTGCTGCAAACTTCACTGACTTTTTGTTATGTCTCTGCAAGAAGAAGCAATGTTAGGTTAGGAGACTAGTTTAGAAAATTCATGTAAAAGTCATTGTGAGGGTCACAGAGGTTTAGAAATCAGCAGAGGAGGCCCCGGGGATTTGTTGGTCATGGGTGTGACCTCTAGCCTGCATGCTGAAGTGAAGTCTCACCTCTCACTGCTCTGCAGAGCTGTGGCCCCTTAGCCAAGTTACATCTCTTCCGGCTTTTAAGTTCTTACTTGTTAGGAAGCAGCAGTGTAGAGAGGGATCATCATGCTGCTTGTTCTGGACATGGTGTCTATACTTTTTATCTTTGTGCATTTATGTATACACTTGTGTGTTGAGGTAAAAGAACAGCTTTGGAGCCATCCTTCAAGCACCATACAGTTTTTTGAGACAGGTTTTTCTCTAGTCAAATGGGCATGTTGCCATCAACCCTTAGGAATCCACTTGTCTCGGTCTTCCCAGAACTGTAATTACAGGTGATACTCTTTTAAAATTTTATTTACTTATTTATTTACTTATCCACATGTGTGTGTGTGTGTGTGTGTGTGTGTGGTGTATGTGTATGTGTGTGTGTGGGTGGGGGGGTGTGTATGTGTGTGTGTGTGTGCTGGGTGTGTGTGTGTGTGTGTGTGTTGTGTGTGTGTGTAGTGTGTGTGTGTGTGTGTGTGTGTGTGTGTGTGTGTGTGTGGTGTGAAAGCATGTGCATTTGTAAAGGAGAATAAATATCAAAAGCCAACTTGTGGGAATTGGTTCTTCTCTGTCCACTGTGTGGGTCCTGGGGATTAAACTTAGGTCACCAGGCTTGGCAGGATGTGCCTTTACCCACTAACCATCTTGAAGACCTTTTATTTGTTTGTCCCTTAACCTGAGTTCTGGAGATCAAACTCAGGATATCAACAGAGCTGTCTCCCCAGTGTGGTATCTGTGTTTTGAAGCATGCATTCACACACACACACACACACACACACACACACACACACACACACACACACACACACACACACACTATGATGACAGAATGATCAGCAGTAGCTGGGATGATGAAGGAAGCAGCTAGCACCATCTGATATTCAGGATGGAGAATGTCCAGGAATGCTTGATATACGAAATGATAAAGACAAGTTAAAGTTATGGCTAAAATTTTGTGTGAGGGCATCTTGGGGAGGTGGGATGGTAAGCTGGTTTCTGGTGAGTGATGGCAGAAGGAAGTATCTTCTAGAGGGTTGCCTTTAGGAGAGAGTGTGGGGGTTGTTGCCTATTGGTGTGTTGAGGCACAGCAACATGTGCTGTGCTGCCCTCTAGGGGCGGA